CATCTCCGGAGATGAGGCTTGGCTGCGTCCAGGCTTTTATTTATTTTGTTTAGTGAAAAAAAACTAAGGCTGTGGTCAATAAATAAAAATGCAAAGAAATGTGGCCAAAATTTTCTATTACACTTTTAAAGGAAAGGAAGGCTTACAGTAGAAGAAAACCACCTGGACCCTCACCGAGTTAAAATGAAATGATTTTTGGATTGAGGTCTGAGGAGTAAAAGGGTGGTCTTTGCTGTATTCAGACAAGAGGAAAGCAAATTTTGAGTACAGAAAAAGATGAACCCCGCTGCTTAGCACGGATCTGTGCATTAGCGGCTTACAAGATTAAATATTGAGGGAACAGCTCCTGAGGTACAACAGCGGAAAGCTTCCCATCTTATGTCTTAGGGCATTAGGGGAGACTTGAAGCTGGGATGCCAGACTGGGAACTGGATCAGTCGAGGCAGGGACACATGTTGCCGTGCCCTGGTGCTGCAGCGGGGGCTGGGCGTCCGGGCTGCAGGGCTGTTGGGGGGGGGGGGGCGGTCGGGTTGGTGTAACTCGATGAGGCTCCTTCTCTTCTGAAGCCTGCGTACAGGGTATTAGACTATGGGGCCGTATCTGCTTTCACTTGGAGCAGGGTGAAAGTGCATTTACTGACTGATGTACCGGGGCTAGTGGAGAGCTGGTCGTAGCAAACAAACCTGGTGGTGTTCTCTGTTATCATTTCTGTCGTGCTGGGAGAGAATAGTGCAGTGGCTGTGGTGTGCAGTAGTTCAGTTTAAGGCATTTTATGCAATGCTGTATAGCGAGATACAATGAAAAAGAAGAATCGTGTCCTGGATAAACCCCCTAACCCCTCAGAATACCCCAGACCCTCCAAGCGCTAAACAGATTAACATCTGCCCCTGTGTAGAGCCACCGTTACCAACTCTGCTTGCAGGTGAGGAGTGCATCTTGTGTTCTGCAGCCATCAGTATCCAGGCCTGTGTAACTTTTATTTAGTGAATTTAAGGAGACAGAGTCTTTTCCTGGTGTATTTTTAAGCTGAGGTGAAATCGGAGGGCCGAAGAACCAGCGTTAGGTGAGGATGAAGACTGCCCAGTATTCGGAAAGGGTAAGAACATCTTGTTACCCTCAGTGGGGTGATAAAGGTATATACGCTACGTTGGACCAGCAGTTGGAACAAGTACCTAATGGGAGGTGGCTGCTTGGAAAGTTTAGAGTTAAAAATACCAAACAAAAATCCACTGGGGTGAGAACAGACTGAAGAAGAGATTGTGGTGCAACATCGCTGTATCGGAAATAAGGCAGTGCTTTCCTCGCCTCAGTTTTACAGGAGAATCAAAAGCAGAAATGAAAGGCTGTAATGCTGCTTTGCAGAGGAGAGGATTTTTGCCTTCAGTTCTGATCCTGCCATTATCAAGGGATACTGAAACGATCGAGGGGGCTCAGCAGTGTGCAATTAGAGCAACAGTGGGATGAGGATGTGACAGTTCATCAGATGAGACTGGAGATAAACGTTTGTATGATCTGGGGAAAAAAGGAGATTAAATTGGGGTTGCCATGATAATGCTCTCCTCTGAATTATATTCTTCAGGAAAAAAAAGGCTTATTCACATTATTTGCATTCGGTGAAACGGGAATCTGAAGTGGCATTTGAAAAACCAGACTAGACAATAGAGGGAAAGTATCTTTGTTGGAGTGTTTGGGCCTTGGAGCAGAGCGATGAGGCGGCGTTGGAGGCGTTGAGAGAAGGCTGAGACGCCGCACTGAGGAGAACGCGGTGCGGGAAGTGCAGCAGGTTTGTGCTACCTTGCTCGCGTGTGACAGATTCGTTTGGTGACCTTAGCATAAAGGGGAGAAGCCTCGTTTGTTTCAGAGGTGCTAGGCACCTCTTGAATTTAATTTTAGCGAGAACCGTGAGTGCTG